CAGCCTAAACTTTAAGACACATACCACCACTCCAGCATCACCTAGAATAACCAACTATTATCTCTTTTCATAACACTATCTTAGAGTACTTTATAATTTGCAAAGCATATTAAATACTTTTTGATCCATAAGTACCTCTTTTGATCCATATATATGCCTATGAATTTATTTAATAATTTTTCTAAGAGGTGGTAACTTTTATTGTATTAAAGTAAATTTACTGTTCACGAATGCAATCCATTTTTCTCACTTTTGATCCATTTTATTATTATTATTATTATTTATGCCTACAGCACCTGGTCTTCGTAGGTGGTCTCCCATCCAAGTACTAACCAGGCCCGACCCTGCTTAGCTTCTGAGATCAGACATCAGGCTTGTTCAGGGTGGCATGGCCATAGACCATGGACTGTGGCTCCACTGGGGTGTGAACCCAGGACCTTCTGTGTGTAAAGCAAACGTGCTAACCGCTACACTATGGAACCACATCCTTGACCCACTTTTTAATTCATTGTTTTAATTCATTGTTTTTTGACTGTTAGCAGCTCATTAAGGTCATACCACAAAACCCTGAATAAGTGTATCCTTACAAAAAGGTGTTCTACTTAATTTTCTTGTTAACTGAGAATATCTTTTTGTTTTGACTACTGCACCAGATCGTTTTTTAAAGCTACTAATATACATTACTACATTAGTAAGTTCAGTATACTAAAGATAATTTAATATTTCATTAAAAACCTCTACCTCTTGATGACTCACAATATTGCTGTAAATATTAATCCTAATACAGCTCTCAAAGTGTGAAAATAAGAAACTGTTTTGAATATACATACAGATCCAAGAAGTTTGTTTTTAAATAAATTCCTAATGATGGCTTGCTGTGTTGTCACTATTTTCTCCTAAAAAATGGTAAATCGAGGCTCCAACTGGTCAGGTTTCAATTAAGATTTTACATGTACATACAAAATATGCATATAATCATTTTATTCAACATCTTGTAATGTTTTATTTATAGTAGTTTGTCCAATCTTATGTTATCCCTATACAGGCAGTTTCATATTAGGTATTAACTGGCTAAGATTTGAAGGGGAAAGAATGAAGTCAGCTAAATGAACGTCAAATCCATGATGACAATCTACTACACTACTATGCATATTCTATGTAGAGACACCGTAATCAGTTTAAAGACACCGCAAACAGTTATTACTCAACAAATTGTAAAAATAAGTTAACATGTGGTTCTGCTTTCCACACTGGCATTCTACTACCTAAAAGAAAAAATGAAATACAACTATTTCTCTAGTGTTCCCTACTTTTGTTGTTGTTCAGTGAATTAGAAAAGGAACCTTAAATAAACTGTAAATTACTCAAAAGTACTTGCAGAGGTCCCTGAAAAAATCTACCTAATATCCAAACACATCTTAAATCTCTGTGAAACCACAGAAATTTTATTCTTGCCGAAAGTCAAAGTATCCCTTGTGGAACATCACTGATTAAACTGAATTGTAAGTTCTCCAAAAATAAACCGTTTAATAAATTTCCCCACTCTGTCACAGACTGTGGATAGGTGTAACATATTACATTGTAATGATATCTAACAACATGGAAAGCAGAAAAGACGTGATAGTTTCCCTCCAGACTAATAACATGACATGTTTATATCAGTTTTTTTTAAATTCAAAATTCAAATGGCTTGATATTCCAAATTCTGCCTTAGAAATCTTAAGAGTCATAACAAATCTTTTAAGAGCATCTCAGAATTGTACTAGTGATTTTAAAAATACATGTGAAAGTGGTTAACTATAAGGTGCATTATGAATGAAGAGTATACACATGCGTACACACACACTCTCTCTCTCACTCTTTTACAATTTTAAGAAATGCTACCCAGACGGGTTAAGTAGTTAAAGTTAAAATATAGCAAATTAACAATAAAGGTGAATAATTTTACTTCAGCAAAACATTTTTGCAAGAAGTCTTCTGATATTCTTATGGAAGAGACAGAAAAAAGTGAACTGGATAAAGGAAGGGCATAGGCCAGATCATTAAAGACCATCTTTATCCTGAGATTTTAAATAATTTACATTTGCATTTTACAAAGAGAACTAGCAATAGTTTAGAAAATGAATTATAAGGAATCTTAAGATTGTTGATAATAAGACTATCCAGGAAACTAATACAAGTGCCTTAATGAGATAAGGGAATAAACTAGACATCAAAAATTATTTTGAGATGTAGACCTGGCGAAACTTAGTCATCAACAAGATGGGTGGGGAGGGGAGGGGGGATGAATTATAAGGCAGGACTGATTTCCAGATTTCTAACTTGGATGTCTGGTTATTTAAAAATTCTACTTAGATAGTAAATTTGAATGGAGTAGGGAGTATGGAGGCTGGGATTTGGTGGCTGTGATGACAACTTTAGGACATTCTGAATGTCCCTAAGCAAAACATTTCGGATTGCTGTGGGACATCCAAGATATCGAGCTACTTTCTGGAAATGTAAACTTGGAAAGTTCTGTATACTTCTATTTTATTAATAGTGGACATTGAATTTACTGCTCCGGAAAGCAGAACCAGGAGAGTAGATAGAAATTGCTGAATGGCAGATTTTTAGTCAAATACTTCTGCTAAATGGATGCAATCCATGTAAGATAATGCATAGAATTCTATTATAATAATTCAAAAACCATGTGTTGAGCACAAACTATATTCAGGTACAGTGCAAAATCTAAGGAGTACAAAAACAAATGAGACATTACCCTCTAGTAATTTAGTCAGACCAGGGAGACAAATTTATAAAAATTATAAAATTATTCAATGTGTGCAATTACAGCAGTATGCATAGAGACTAAGAATAGGGTTGAGAATGGAAACACAAAGAACATTAGCTTAGGAAGATGAAGAGAAGACTGAGAAGTAATCAAGAGAGGATGAGAAAACTTCAAAGAACAGAACGTCAGACTGACAGAAGCCAATATTAGAAGAGTTAACACACTGGATAACAATCACAGGTCTTGATCGGCGAGGCTAGACCAATGATTCCCAACCTGAGATCACCAGACCTTTAGGGTAAAAATAAAGATCTGTAAACTATTCTTAATATTTCAAAATGCTGTTAAAAATGGTACTTTACCTAAGAGAGGCCCAACTTCTTCACATCTGACCAGAATTATATTAGCTCGCTGTGGTAACACCATCATCTTACATTTGTCTGAAGGACTGACTACCAGTGATCTGACTGATAAAAGGCAATACGAATAAGAGTTTTACACAGAGGAGGAAATAAAAGTAACCCTTAGTACTTTAAGAATCTAAACTCATGGGCTAAAATTTTAGGCAAGAGCTAATAAGAGTATGCTTAACAGGTATAAGTTATGTTTTTCAATTCAAAACACTGATTAGCTATATGAGGGATTGAAGACACATGACTTGAAAGTAGTCCACGTGAAAGAGACTCTTTCTGTAGTTTTGGTTGATTCCAACTCCATCTGAGTCAACATGAAGTTCCAGAAAGGCTACTCAAACATTAAGCTACATTAATAGGATTATACGCAAGTCAGGGAGTGGTATGAGTTTTAATGTATGCTGTTCAACAATACATCTGGAATAGAATACCACATTCCAAACTTTAAAACATACAACCACATACCATCCAGAGGAAGAATTGGAATTTTGTCTAGAAAAGAAAATGGTCAAGAGTTGTCTACAAATGGTAGAAGGGATGTCTAGTACACAGAGAACAGTGGATTTGTAGTTTATTGCTCCAGAAAGCACAACTAGGGTGAGCAGCTAGACAGAAGTTACTGGATGGAAGATTTTTGGTCAAACACAAAGATTTATGAACTATAAGAATAGTTCCACACTGACATACACTGTTCAATTTTCACTGGCGTATGAGTTCAATGAACTCATTGTCATTGACTTTTTATACAGAGGAAGGACGATCCACTTCTTGGGGTTCACAGCTGAAGCAATTTTGGAGTCCATGGGATCTGACAAAAAGGAGCCCCGGGATGCGTACTACCAGTGATTGGTCATCAAGCTGGGAAGTGCTCTGAGAGGTTTTACTTAAAGAAGCACACAAATTCAGGCTAATAATGATATAGCTAGAGTACCTTGCACGTTTGTACAGGTGAACACACATACATGGAGAAATTTTACAAACTACTTTCACTGTATGAGTTAACCTAAAAGACAGGAGCTGGAAGATGCTGCAGTCCTTCACATAAATATCCTAGACATGTGATATTAATTTTCAAAATAGTCTCCTTACAAACAAAGCAAAATAGACAGTTCGTTCCAGTTACGTTTTTGAAACAAGAGAAAAATACACTTTAGTGCCAACTAAATATGAGTACTCTTTGTACTTTAATACTTAATGGACTGAAATATATACTCGATTCTAAGAGTGTGTATTTGTTGAAAAATGTATTCCCTTCTCTTTCGTAGAGAAAAAGCAGTTTTGAGTGTTAGAAAAGAAAAAAAAAACACACTTGAGAAGGAAGTTACACGCGCCCCAAATTTCCTGATCCCCCACAACAATCAGAAAGGGAATGGACGGGGAGTGCAGCCCAACATGAGCTCCAGAGGAGGGACAGGAATGGGACAGCAAAACTGGACTCCCAGTTTGGTAGGAAGGCGGGCACTGCGAGAGGATGGTTTGCTGGGGCGAGGTCAATGGAAACGGGTACACCTTTGCTCCCCCAGCCCATCCCGCGAGGTCTGCAGGACCGCACCGGAGCCCCACTCCGCGCCGCCAGGAGGAAGCAGAGGCCCGGGCACTGCACCTCTCGGCCGGACCAGCTCCTCTCGTCGCCCGGCCACGGGCCGAGGCTGACCGACCCACGGCGCCGCTCCGCCTCCCGGCCCCCTGCGCCTCCTCAGCCCGCTCCCCGCCCGCAGGAGACTGCCCCACCCGCGCCACGGGCGTCCGGGGCGCCCCCGACCTCCCGCTCCCGGGGCGTTCCCCATCCTCCCTGCCCGCGGTCGGCCTCCACTTACCTTCAATCGCCATGATGTGCTTGCCATGGACCGCACC